TTCTGTTGTTCAGATGTTTAAGCAGGGGCACCCAACGACAATTTTCGGAAAATATCTGTTCGGAAGACGATTTGAGAGCTAGAATTTTCGGAACATTTGTTGTAACATTTCTTGCTTGCCTGCCTCTCCTAGGATTTTCGAACATCTAAAAAATGGTATAATTGCCCATTTTTAACGGATTTTTACCCTTAAAAGGTCACCTAGAATTTTCGGGAGCCTTTTCCCTATAATTTTCGGATCACTAGACTTTCAGCTAGGAAATCCGAACAAATGAAAAATTTTTAGGGGATAAAAATATGCCTATATCTACCGTTTAAATACTAAAATACGTTTAACAATGCCATGCCCGATTGGTTTTGAACTATGTTCTCGTTGGGTGCCCCTGTTTAAGTTATTGGTAATGAGCTCTACCCAAGAACAGAAACAGAGTGAATAACAAAACAAGAGAAATACTGAATCATGATAAGGACTGAAACACTATTTTACGTTTATTGCAGTCATTGCTAGTAATTCTTGTTTCATACAAGTGAATATATTGAGGTCGATCTCCTTTATTAGTTCTCTTTGGTTGATTCGAAGAAGGTTTTATTTACGCGTAGACGTGCAGAGTACAGAAAATAACCAATCAGATCAAGGACTTTAATAAATAGATATCCATAATCTGAACTTCAACAACATCAAAATTTCGATAGTTATGATACATTAATTAGCGTCGTTTTTTTTTTTTCCCGTCACCACGCCAAAAATTTAGATTCAGGACGTGACCTACACAAAATCCTTCCTCCCGCAAATTATTTCTTGTTCATTGCAGCTAAGCAAGCTCAATCAACAACCATTAAAATCTCAGTATGTGATCGTAAAACCTACCTCGCAACTGCAATTTCCCTTGAAGTGGGAAATCTTCAAAGAGATGTTTATTGATGCGTATTACAATCTCAGCTATACAATTTTTAATTCTAATTTGATAAATTGATTTAATAAGACATTACAGTTAACGTTGAACATCTATGGTTTACTAGATCTGGCCAGTTGATAATTATTTTATAATATTATGCGCCTTGTCAATAAAGTCAATACAATAGGTGAGAATCTGAAAACTAAACAAGAACTGAAACTCCTATAACTAGTAGTTTACTCAATTAAGAGTCGGTCTCAAAATACACTGGTCACAGTGGTAGAATTGCCACGCGGATGCCCGATAGTGCTCTTGATTATGATCTTAAAGGCAAAGCAATTTTTGAAGAAGTGAATCCTGTCGTGTCATGGCGGACTTAAAGTCCATGGGAATACCTCGTTGTTCTGGACCGTAGAGTAAAAGGGCGATCGTTTGAACTCTGCCAAAGGCTCTCTCCTTTGGGCTGTTTTTGAATTTTAATGGTGATCATATGCGCAAAAAAAGAGGGAGGTTGTTGGTTTCCTATAGACGCTGATGGTAACGCGGGGATGCGCTGCGTCAAGTTCGCTCAAACCTATAAGGGAGCGATCATTAACTATTGGGGGGGAGGAGGGCTGGTAGATTTTGGGGGAGGGCTGCGATATTTTGGGCTCCCATTTAGGAAGGGCTAAAATTTTCTGGGCCCGCATTTAGGGGAAGATTACAATTTCTGGGCGCCTTTGGGCGATGCGCGCGTACTATTAAATGGGTTTTGTGCTACTGAAATATTAAGCACTGCTTGAAATACAATGGCCATGCAAGTAATATTAACAGAATTGCATACTCAAAGCTGAATCGCACGGTTAAAAAGCACTCTGATTGGCTGGAGATGAACAGTGACTTCACGCCGAATCGCTTCCAATTTTCTTGACTCTGAAATGGCTTAGCTTTGAAAACAGCGCACGGTTTTAGTTTGGCTTCGTTGTTTAATCAGCGTCATCGTCGTGTGATTTTCCTGTATTATAATGCACCTGAATGGCAGATAATTTCATGAAAGCCCTCCTTCGAGCCGCAATCAAAAGTGCACGGATAGTTGATAATATGTTATTATAACTGAAAATGCATTTTTTCATGTTATGACTGGTACTCGATCTGTATTTGTTGTTTTTTTAACTCATAGTGGTCCAGTTTATACTAATCCGTCTTTTACAAAACTCAGCCAGTCTTAAACAGTAACAGGAACAGAACATTTTCTTTTTCAACAAATGCAACATAGTTTTTTATATGTACAGTATGCAAATTTAAGGTAAGGATGTAACAACTAGTCAATAGGCCGATAGTAAGGAGCGCATTTGAATGTGTTCCAGTAGGGGCCAGAGTCATCTGAACTGCCACTATCGTATGCTTCCATTGTAGCAGTGCCCGAGTGAATATCAAAGGCACTTCCTGATTCCTCCTCCTGACATTGTTCAGTGGCATCATCATCATCAGCATCATTATTCACCAATTAAGTTTTTCTTTTTCTTAGTTTTTTGTTTTTGTTAGTTCAATAACCACACAACAGTTCAATAACCACCGAACAGTTCAATAGCCACACAAGTAGTTTGAAACCTGCGGAAAGATAGTTAAAACAAGGTTTCATCCACCGCTAACCGTTATGTTTTGTGCTTTATTAACGAGCGCTCTGTCGGTTTATCTAGTTTCCGTTTTTTTTCTCTGGACCGAGTTAGTTTCCATTTTCAGCGCTTACTCTTTTTCCAGGTCTGTTCACTGTGCCCCTGATGAGAATGACAGACCTTCTGAGCAGACAAGAACTTCTTAATTAACATCAATCTATGTTCCTGTCTATATTAGTGAGCTCACTAAAACTTTATAACAATGTACCATAGCTATTTGTAAATTTAGTTCTTGTATCGTTGCTAAATGAGTATTTATCACTTACTCAATGCTACACATTCTAATTAAAAAATATCTAATGTAGTTGTGGCTTTTTTTTTTCCGCAGCTACATGTAGTTTACGCGCAATGAACTAATGTGTGGTCATTGAACTACTGGTGTGGTTATTGAACTGTTCAGTGGTTATTGAACTGTTGTGTTTTTTTTGAATTAACAAAAAGAAAAAAATGGGTTTTGTAAATATTGTGAATACTAACAGTTTTTTTATTCCAATGAAAAATTGTCTCAAAGTTACGCTCATATGGATTCTCAAGGTGCAACATTGAATACTCAAAATGTTATTACAGGGGAGGGTTACAAACTTTTCAGGCACACATTTTTTGAGGGGGCAGGATTTTTGGGCTGTTAAGCTTAGAGGGGCTAAAACTTTTAGGCCCTCGCTTTTAAAATAATTCCGGACCTCTCCCACCCCCCCCCCCCAATAGTTAATGACCGCTCATTAAACTTCAAGAGAAAAGTTACAATCAGGGAACAAAGGAAGCAAGAGAAATGAAGTTCTTCCTCCTTTAAGTATCTCCCCTTGTGAATCCTTCTCACACTTCCCTCTTTAATGTTGGAGGAAATTACGTAAGAGATGGAAAATAGAGAAAAGTGAATGATGACTGGGAAGGAGTCAGGTAGCTCAAGGACAAAAAAAAAAAGAAAAAAAGAACAACAGTCAAATCCCTTCTCAAGATTTGAAGCTGATTATTCGGAATTATTTCGTCATCTCACGAAGGTGTCCCTGACCATGGTAGTGCACTTACTGCTGGATTATTTGTATGCCCTTTTGTACCTCGTTTTTTCCATATACATTTAACCAGAGTGTCTTTATTAAGGCAACGATTGCCTCAAAAAGGCACCGGTGGTTCAGTGGTAGAATTCTCATTTACCAGGCGGAAGGCCCGGGTTCGATTCCCGCCAGTACGTCAGTTCTCTTTGATATTGTTGAAAAAATGTACGTGAATGACACTTGTCAGAAAAATCTGAGCTACATAGGACCGGATAAAAAGGTGTTATTTTTGTAACACTATTCCTAGATCTGACTGTAAGAAATAAAGGAAGAGAGGAAAAAAAACAATTGCTTGTCAATATTCTTTTTCGTTTTTCTGTGCGTTACTTCCTCGTTTTTCATATCTCATAAGCTGAAAAGCTTAAGGCAGACAAATGCTCGCTTTTAAGTGTTTATATAATTTATAGGATCAGTTTCGTATCGCTGATTTGATTGGGGATCACTCCTCATGAAAGGCAAGTTCAGTTGAAGGCTGTTGTGCGCTATGCTTATCTTTGTTTTTTTTTTTGGTTACCTTATACATGATATATCTTTGAGTCCAGTATAACGGATGGTGCATACTTTCGTGATTTTCATCTCATTTGATTGAAAGAACAGGAAGAACATGTGTACGAAATAACCTTCCACATTAAACCAAATGCAATGACGGAAAGGTTGAAAAGGAAAAACAACTTATGTAAGAAGGGACGTATGAAGATGTACGAGATTTGGTAATAAACTGTATTATCAATGAGAAAAAATAATTTCCCACTTTTTTTTAACTGCAACTTAAAGAATAACCAAGTATTCCTTACACGTCCTAGAACGATATAGAATTCAGAGAGAGAGTCTTTTTCATGCAAACATAATAAAGGCCTTTGACATTGACCGTTTTTATACTAAGGACGCATAATTTGTCTGGGCGAAATTGGGAAAACATTCTGTGGTTCATCTGGTTATGCGTCTCAAGTATAAAGACGAGCACAACACGCATTATGCGTCCAGACGAACTACCTTTCGTAGTGTGTCGTTCAACAAGCATTTCGAAGGAAAGTTCGTCCAGACGCATAATGCGTCTCGTGCTCGTCTTTATACTTGAGACGCATAACCAGATGAACTACTAATGTTTGCCCAAGTTCGTCCAGACGGATGATACGTTCTTAGTATATAAACGGCCAGAGACGCATTATCCGTCTTGACAAATAATGCGTCCTCAAGTATGACGTTTGGCTGGCTAATACTCTTGAGTCGGCAAAGCTCACGTTAAATCAAATTGCCTCTGCACGCGTTATATTTTCAGTCTATATTTGTATATGGTTTTCTTAACACACACTTATACAATATTCAGTCCTCGCACGAAAAAAAAAAACTTGGAAAGCTAATGTTTTGAAAACCACGGAAAGGAAGGAGACGCCCTTATTAGTACTGGGACCTAGATACTTCTTCTATCATTATTCGGGACACTGAATTCCAACCAGTGTAAGCATTACCCAAGGTGTAGCCACTGCACTTTCCTACCCATAATTCCACTCTAAGCGCCCCTTGTGGAATGTTTTCACAGTACCCCTCAAATGACCGATGATGGAACAGATCAGGGTTCCCAGATGACCAGTCGTTGTAAACAGCGGCCTCAATCGTCATTGGTCCACTGCATTCGTTTCCATTGAACTTGAAATACCACCGATTACACTTAGCATCGCCATAAATCCTCATGTTACCCTGGAAAGAGACTTTGAGCGCTGTGTCCGATTTCAACTTGTTAAAAGCACAGTCCTACGAAAAAAAAAAAACAAACAAAAAAACAAAACGATTAAAATGTCCGCAACTCTAATAATGCTAAATAACACAAAAATTAATATATAAAATATCAGGAAGTCCACAGCAACAAACCAATGAGTGGTGCCGGATCTCCCAGTTGTAGACCTGGATCAGTACAACTGTGACGCAGTGAGAAAGGCTCGAGAAGCTCATTTAATACACAAAGGGAACACATTATTTCCTCTAGGAATAAATAGACGCGGCGCAGCTCACTGATATATGATATCACTTAGTCTCCTATACCAATAACAATCCACCGCTTTTATTGTCACATTTTCAAATTCTTATTTGTAAGGAACTTTAAGATTTATTTTTTTTTTTTCTTTTAGCCCCTAAAGAAGGTTTGTTTTCAAACCGAAATATTGAGCAGTTTCTTTAAATATATATATTTTTTCGATTGTTCTTTTGTCTACTTCTTCATCGCCTTGCCGTAAGGATCAGTTTGCCGTTTCAAATTTTTCTACAAAAATTAATGCCGGCCAGCTGGAGAAAGGTTGATTGGGGATGAAGGCTGAGACAATGAGGTTGGGATCATAGCTGTGCTTTAAATGTTTATCTCAGAAAAAGGATTTTCGACCTCTTTCCACCTATGAAAATCATCTGTGGTACTTATAAATAGTTCGTGTTTAGCTTTTAGCGCGTTTCTTGTTTACCTTAATCTTTCCGTTATCAGTACCGCTGCCTGATTTCCACACACATTGTTTCCAGTTGGTTTGTGGTACTACACTTGCTTGACTTGCTTTGGCGCTTTCTCCTTTCTCTCCTTTGTCTCCTTTTCTTCCTTGATTTCCCACAATGCCTGGCTCTCCTTTCATTCCCACAAGCCCTGATTCACCTTTCATTCCCACATTTCCTGGCGGTCCGCTCTTCCCGGGAGGCCCTTCGCGTCCTCTGTCTCCTCTTGGACCCTGCACTCCTTGTGATCCCTTATCACCAATTTGTCCTTTTGGACCTTCTCTTCCCTGGGGTCCCCGTGGCCCAGGCACGCCCGGCATTCCGGGCATGCCATTTGACCCTGGAATGCCTGGAAAACCATGACTCAGTATAGATTTCTGAAAGTAAAGATGTTTAATTAAAAGAAGAGCCATGGCCTATTTTAGCAGTGAAAGCAGGTAATGTATTGAGAGAGTAATTGCTGTCTGTCTTAGAGGCAAAGCCATAGTATATGCACAAGGGCCGGGGGGGGGGGGGATGGGGTGGAAGAAAGAGAAAATGAAATTTGGGAAAGTCAGCCTTTAAGTGAGTTTCCAAATCTTTTTATTATTTCGAAGAGATAGATATTTTTCATTTAAACCAGTTAAAGTCACAAGAGACAGTAATTGGCTAGCACGTTATGACTTTCTGGTTATTCGTGAAGGGTAGTGTCTGAGTGAAGATCGTTTCAACAGCGTATGGCAGATAGCATCGGCCGAGGTCTGAAAATGAAGAAGTTTGAATTACGCGAAGCCAGGGCACTCAGACGAACGCCATCGCGCCGCCTTCAAGCCCTTGTAGGTGAACACGCGCAAAACAAACGGAGCTGACACCGGAATCGCACCACCGTATAGCCTGCGTCACACACGTGGTTTAACCCCGGTTAGTAAGGCGCTGTCCAAGCTTCAGCTCAGGTTTAGCGGGAATGATCAGGAAATACTCTATGCTTTGGGAAACATCTCTCACAGTGAAAAACCTGTTAAAGAAAGTTTCTCCCGCGTTGCTAAATTTTACAAAATCGACGGCGAGATTCTCCAAGCTGAGCAGAAAATGTACCCGGGGTTTCGGCGTGTGCGCGGTTTAGGCTACATGACTGTTCCAGAAATACTGGAGACAATGCACGAGAATGATTAATTTGATATGTTTTCAGTGCTTTCTAATGCGGTACATAACCTTAGAGTGATGCCTACTACATTTTGGTCTGCAGAACGATCATTCAGTGCGTTGCGTAGATTGAAAACTTATCTCCGCAGCACCATGGGCAACAACGTGTCAGTAACATCACACTTATTACAACTGAAAGGGCTTATGCCGACTCTTTAGTCAACAATCATGACATGGATCGTATCATTGCTATTTTCGGCAGTCAAAATGGCAAAGACAGCGTTTTAAGACGTGTTTTATTTTTTTAGCTCATATAATAGATTGATATGTAAGAGTACTTTCGATTGCCCGTACGCCTATGGGCAAAGCGAGAATGAAAGCGTCCATTTTCAGTTAGTAGTAAAGAACAGCAGGAAGTTTTAATCAAAATTCACGAAAACCTGTTTAATCCATGAATAACCTAGCAGGAATTTTATATCAAGGATTATTTTAGTAAGGCTACATATATTGATAAAAACGGTTTGATGAACTCCCAGTGATCCCATTAAGCAAAACAAAATAAAGAAAGAAGAAAAGAAAAGAATAATAGTAATCAAGAAGATGATGAGGATGACGCTGATCGCGGCATCGAACATCGTCGGAACGACATAGTATTTTTAGACAAAAAGCGAAGATGGTGTCATATAAATGTTATAGTAGTCCCTGGGGTAGGGGTTAAAGCAAAGAAACGCCTGTCAGCGAGTTACCAAAAGGGTTAAAATGAAAAAGGAAAAGTCGGGAAAGCGCAAGAATTTAAAAAGGAAAGTTGCTCGGCTGAGGAATGTAAATGCTTTAGAATCACGTAATAGTTGGACCCTTGGTTGTGGTAACGAATTCAAATTCTTCAGACTAGGATAATAAAAAATAATAATAATAATAATAAAAATGATTATGATGATGATGATGATGATGATGATGATGATGATATAACAACCAAATAATAATGATAACGATAATAATAATGAAAATAACGATAATAATATCAGCAATGATATTCATAATAATAACGATAAGTTAATGATAAATTTTTAGATGTTTTGTGGTGGAAAAGAGAAATTCCTTTTTAAGACAAAGCTCAGTCTCCCCGCATTTCATTTTGCTGCTTGCCTTCATAAACAACGCCAAAAAAGAGAGCTCCGCCCTCAATTCAATTGACATGACGCGGCCGTCTATCGGTACCCGTCTATTATCGAGAAACTGCGACATAAATTGTCTAAAACTGGGTAGATCAGAACAAATCCGTGAAACCAACCTTTGGGGCAAATTTTGAAACGCAGACTAACCACATAAGAGTCGAAGCTAGCATTTTTATTGTGCAAATATAAACTGCGTTGCGGAACTTTTTGATGCGATTTTCTTTTCTACCCACTGCCCGAGACACAAAAATATCAGCTAACACAGAATAATTGTTTCATACCTCGCATAAATCTTTTAACTTTGCGGTGTTTTGTTGCTGAGGTGAGGTGGTTGTTCCCAGTGAACCACCGGAAAAAGAGAAAGCCAAGAAAACAACGAAATACTGAACCATGATTAGAGTTCAACCAGAACACTGCGATTACTGAAATCAGTGCTACGTGCTCATCAGTTAAATAGCAAATATTTGTTTTATTTTTGTTTTACTGTTGTGGTTACCTCTTTATTTCATTTCCTTTTATGGTAGAAATATTTGTTTGTTTTCCCTCTAGAACAAGCTACCCTTTTAAAGTGAGTCGTTATACGTGCGGGTATAGTTTCAAATATTTTTATATGATATATTGAAATCACCATATCATTTACCTCGTATCTCTTACCAACCATATCATTCACCTGTGCACGTTTCGTTTGAGTTCGATTTTTCTTTTGCAGTAACCTTTTTTTAAACGATCTCATTATACTTTTGCACGTTTGACAACTTGGATATCGTACTGAAACAAATGCGTAATTTTAACCAAGTGAAGTAACCTTGTTATGTGCACGATATTTGTTGAATCGTTTTTCTTGATGATGGCCTGTTTTCTTTTTTAGTTCTAACCCGCGAAAAATTTAGGGTTGCAACCTCTTAAAAGCGCCGTCTTCCAGGTGGTCGATGCTTATTATTAAGTTACAATTTTAATTCAGTGCCAGCCACGCAAGTTCCAACCTGCCAAAGTGCATAAGCTATATTCTTTCAAGATTCTGTTGCTAAGCATTTATCATTAGTAATGAACTCTTAGCATGGAGAGCCGGAAAACGGATAAATAGCAACAAAACCAGTTAAAATCAAACGTTATGTCAAGGCATAATCATATGTTATTTATGTCGATACTATGTAATATGTCTTTGTTGTTTCGCTGCATAGTTCGTTATCCGACTCGTGTCAACCTAATCTCTCTTTCAGGAGGTAATTATTTTCATCGCTCTATTAAAGGAGCGTAAAACTGTACACATTCCCGCGTTCGCTCCCTCTTGGTTTCACCACGACGATTACATCTCTGCGCCAAAAAACGTTTCTTAGCCCTCCATCCCTCTTTGCCATCTGTCAGGAGACCTTCTGTTCGGTTATGATTTACTTTTGCAATTGGGCGAATTTCCAGCCCCACCATTGTTGAAAATAACAAATTGTTTGGTATTACTACTACTACTAAATGCGTCTTTGTTTGACAGACGGTTAAACTGCCACTCAGACAAGTGGCTAATTAATTCCATCACTCGACTGTCATCTCTGTTTTGACTCCAATGAAAACTTCAATGAGAGCTCCCCAAATTCCTCCTAGGGTATTGGCTTAAATACTTCACCATGATAAAGACAGAAGTGCATCTACCGTCTATTGCTCGTTTCTTGAATTCAAATATTTTCAAGTTAAACTGAAATGCCTTTTTTGTTTTTTCGTCAACGTGCACGTAAACAGAGTTTAGTCATTTAATTACAAGAGCATCAAAATTTTGATAGCGCTGATAACTGATGTTTATTGTTGCTTTTACGGGAAGTTTCTCTTTGCTAGCACGCAAAAAGTATCATGTCGTGACCTCCTCATAGTAGTGTTACCTGTTCAGTACGTAGGTCGTGTTACTAAACAAGCTCAAACTTGGCTGTTGTTGCTTTGCTTTAGATTCAGATATAATAGGGACCAGATGAACTGGCCTGCGAGTAAAAGGTACTCAAAGAGTAGCCCAGAGCAAATATAATTCCATTTTGATCGAAGCAATAGTCTAATGATAATTACTAAGATTTTTGATATTAGAAAATGGAAAGAATTCCAGTCCCTCCAGAAAATTTAACTATGAGTAGAAATTTGAAAAATATACGTCTTTCGCAAAAGGTTTTTACAGTTTATCTAGAAAAGGATTACTAATTAGATAGTATTTCAAAATTCTCGCTGAGCAGCTGCTTTGGAATTTTTTTTCGTCGATCAATAATCCGCTCCAACGAGGCTTCCTTCGTTCTCATTATCACTTAAATACTCGTGAATCTCTGGCACTTTCCTTTTTCATAAATAGGAAAGTAAATTTAAAGTGAAAAGTCCATAGGATATCCCGCCATCGCACAATGGCGTCCCTTACAAGGTTAGCGCGCTTACTCCTGGATTATTTGAAAACCCTTTTGTACCTTACCCTTTTTGTTTGTTTGTTTCATCATAAAAATTAAACCACAATGCCCCTTTTAGGCAACGAGTCAGTTTTTAATAGGGCACTGGTACCAGTTCTGTGATAGAATTCTCGCCTCCCACGCGGGAGGCCCGGGTTCAATTCCCGACCAATAAATAAATAGAATAAAATAAAAATAGTTAATAATAATAATAATAATAATAATAATAATAATAATAATAGTAATAATATATTGATAATAATATTTACAGAAAAGATTGTTATCGTTCAGTTATCTAGCTAATTTAGTAATAACAAGGGGTATAGGACAAAGAATTTTTCACAGATTGGGAGATCCAATGTATTCTACAGGAAGTAGGACAGTTATTTTCGGCTTTTGTTTATCGCGTGTTTATAGCAATTCTCCTCTACTAAACGTATGCTCCACTTAAACAATTGATCGATATTCTCTTCTCCATCTTTGCAACTTTTCCATTTACTATGACGTAACTACTTAAAGCGGCAAAAAAATAAAGCAGTTTTACCTGTTCGTATTCAAGGATTTGGGATGAGTTCTGGATCGCTGGTTAGATAGGATGGTTCTCACAAACAAACACATTCATTCGAAGAAGCTGTCGTTTTCTTGGTTTACTTATTTTCTTGTATCTTCGAGCCCTTTTATTTACAGTATGCTTCAGATAAAAGTTCCAAGAAACCCCTTAGCTAAACATTTTTCCCTTTTCCATTTGAAGTAGAGTTATTAAAACAAAAAAGAAGTTACGAATTTGAAGCTTTGTGTAGTTCTAAGGGCACTGTTTAAAGTGTTTAGCAGAAACAGGTTACCCTTACTTTCATGGAATTTAATCACATTTTATCAAGAGTAAAGAGATATATGAGGTGAGGTGGCTGTTCCCAGCGAATCCGAAGAAATACAAAGCATCAACGGGAGAGCAAAATGCTGCAGCATTACGAGACTAGCTGTGTTTTGTGATCCGTACTTCCTGCTCTTTTATTGGATAGCGAATATTAAGTTACAATCTTGTTTTCCTGCTTATTTGCACTTCCATTTATGACATTAATATTTATAGTTACTAAGTTGTTCCTAGTTTCTATTTCTTTCTCGAGCAACTAAATATTTAGTACAGCCACCTATTGAATAATTTCCGGCCTTGTTTAAGTGGGTAATCAGTACGTGTGAGTAGTCAACTAAAATTTTGGTCAAGCTCCAGCTAAACAAGCCCAAAACATAGGTGTTGTTTCTATTTTTAATCTTTACACCGTCAGATAATTTTCCCACTGACCCATGGACTTGCACGTTTTGTTTGTTCTGACCATATGACTAAAAAATGCGTAATTTAAACAAAAGAGAATTTTAAGACGTCGATAGCATGTTACATGCTAGATAGTTGTTGCTTCGCTTTTATTGATTATGCTTTGTTCGAGTTTGTTCTGTTTTTAACATGCCAACTATTCAAGATGACCTCAGTTTAAATAGTTTAGGGTGCATCTACTTCTGCAAGGTCGGTGGTGTTAAGTATTAAATTAGAAGTTTGATTCAGCACCAGCAAGCCATGCTAAGTCCTTTAGATTGTTTTCTTTGATCATTATTTTAAGGTCA